CTCTCTCTCTCTCTGGAGTCACGCTATAGGCCACACAGGGGCTAGTATTATAGGCAGCATCACATTACCGACCAAAGCAAGGGACACTATAGTGATTATTTCGATCCTCACGTGTCAATGCTGGGTTTGGGTATGTCTGACTAATGACGGCCAGTAATCCAGAAATTGTCATTCCAATCTTCCTTGTCTTTGTCAGTAATGGGAACTTTTGCTAGCCTTCCTGTTGTCGGAAGGGTGTACGGAGACGTCCAGCTTCGAATCCAGGAAGTGGAGGAAACCATATTCCCACCAAGGCACCCCAGGTAACCTTGAAATATTGGACGACCAGATACTTATACGTCACTCGCCCCCTTACATTTCGCGGGATAATGACGCGAATGGTAGTAAGTCATCGCCCACAAAAGCAATAACAGTGGAGCTTTAATCTGCCTTGTCAATAAGATTTCCTATTTTTTACCGTTAGAAAATAAGCATTCGGACTTGCTTCAGTGAGCTGTATACCGTCTGCATTCTAGCCATTATACAACTGCCCACTTTTGAAAATGCCTTGTTAAAAACGTGCTCAGTTGGTCATAAGTAACTCCGACTCAGGAGGTCATGCGTTTAAGCACCTTGATGTTTATATTTCCGTAACTTACCTTTTTTTGACTCTACCTAGGGCGGTCGAGGACCCTTTTAGGTAAGAGCGATCCGCACAGGCCCGACAACCCGCCAGACCAGCCTCAACCAGACAAATTTGACAAAGTCCTAGACAGCTTTGTGGTGAGTTGCTCTGTCGTGCTGTATTTTGCAGTACTCATTATCACCTGCATCTTGCCATGTTTGTCCTCCTTTCTTGTTCACCCGCACATTCCCGTCTGCCGTCATTGGCTGTACGGAGAGCTTCAACAGTTGCTGTCTGAGGTAGATTAAATTCAACTGGTGCCATTTAGTATCTAATGTGCTGTCGCGTTGCTGCCGTTGGCCCCGTATGCACCTTACCTTCGAGAATAAATCTGACTTGTACACATTTGGCATGTACGAAAACGTATCCTCCAGCGAATATAATCACTATCATTGGCCTATCGACGTCAGTCAAATGGGAAGAAAGCGAATAAACCACGACGTGGTTCCACGTGTGACTTTCTCAGTTAAAGTCGTGCTCCTGTTGACATAATTTTTTTAGGTGAGAGTACCTACTAGGGCCGCAGAAGGGTCCTTATGTATTATAACCACCTACTTGCAAATTTTAAGTAGGGTGAATTCAACAATATTCCAACTTCTGCATTAGTTCAGCTTTATTCTAGTTGGAGTTGGTGGTACTACTAAAAAAGGTACCTCAGGGCACACTCGTCCTGCATGCACGTGCTAGCCTTTGGTCAGTTTGGGGTTAGCGATGATATTAAAGCGTACTTCAGTGTCCCCGCCCGAGGTTTTAGTACGCGCCCCAACTCGTTAAGTTTTTATTTTACAGGATTGTTGCGAACTTATTTGTTCCCTGACATGCCCCACCCGTCCTCTCCCCTAAAATCAGGAGCCCG